CTCAAATAGATGTTTTAGTAATTAAAGAATTTTCTAAGTTGTTTGGATAATTATTTCAATAACTAAAGCTTTCTTATGGTTTGAATATCGGCCAATTTAAGGATCCACAACCGAATGAAAATCTAAAACATCAAATAAAAAGAAATACAGTAAATATTATTTATGATATTTTATTATAGTTTAAAACTTTTAATAAAAAACCTTTCCCAAAAATAATGATTTTCATATAATTTCCCATTTCCGATGTATTCAGTTGAAGATAATCTTTTTATCCTTTAGTGGGAAAATCAAATCTTTTTATCTTTTCTTTATGTCTTCATAACTTACGTCAAGTTTGAAACTAAATCATATAAAGTCACAGTATGACATATTCTGGAATCAATAGTTATTTCGAAAAAGAAATATGGTAGTTTTAACATTATTGTCTGAATGTTTGAACTTAGAATTACATATCTTCGACGAGTTGTGTTTTGGTTTATAGTTTTTTTTTTATATAAACCTTTATTAATCATAACAAGTTGCTATCAGAACACAAAGCTAAACTCGAGAGATAAGATTGGGCGGAGACCGGAATGCTAAATGAGACGACTTTTTTTTTCATTCATCAGCCAATTAAAAAATTATAAAGTAGCTATTTTTGGCTTTGTTTTTTTTGGTTTTTGCTAAAATCCATTTTTGGCTTTTTTTATATTCCACAATGATGCGGTTGGTTAACAATACTCAATTTTGATGTCCGTTGGTGCAATATGTCATATTACATACTTTTTTTGAAAGTACGTATTACATACTTGTATTAAAAAATAAGTTAAGAAACTTTAAGTGTTAGAAATAGTGAACCAAACATTGTTTGTCCTGATTATTATGTATCTACCGTACTTATATATGTACATTTTCTTTTCTAAAAAAATCATAGTTTCTAAATTCATTTTTTTTCCTACAAAAATCATAATTTATAAATTCATTTGTTCTACACAACGCGTTATTCGTTTTGTGTAGATTTTCAAATCTAAAACTTTTGTTCTACATCTCATGTGAATTTTGATTGAGGTTCTTGAAAACTTTATCATTTTGAATTTTTCAGATGTACCAAATTAACCAAGCAAAATCACTATTTAATTGTTTAATTCATGATTGGATAAATATTATATACGCTCTTTGTATCACTTTTTAATTGTTGAAAAGATATAGTCAATTTTGATGTCCGTTGGTGCAATATGTCATATTACATACTTGTATTCAAAAAAAAAAAATTATAAACTTTAAGTGTTAGAAATAGTGAACCAAACAATGTTTTGTCTTGATTATTATGTATCTACCGTATTTATTATACGTACATTTTTTTTTGCAAAAATCATAGTTTATAAATTTATTTGTTCTACACATTGCGATATTCGTTTGTGCAATCTAAATTTTTTTCTACATACTGAACATCTCATGTGAATTTTGATTGAGGTTCTTGAAAACTTTGTCATTTTGGACTTTTCAAATGTACCAAATTAACCAAGAAAAATCATATGGTTTAAATGTTCAATTCACGATTGGATAAATACTATATCGGTATTTTGTATCATTTTCTAACCGTTGAAAAGATATATTTTTTGTATTTATTTCCTAACCTAACAGTTGGGTATATACGCCCTACAACTCTTTGTGTCTATC